GCACCGGGAGACCACCGCATATGGTACGAATTCTTCCGTTTCTATGGCATCCTAGTCGGACAGGTTTGCTCGGAGTTTTGAGGTATCAGAATCGGGCAACATTCGACGTGATGTGCTTTTACATTTTAAAATCAATATTATCATATTTTTCTTTGTAATTTTAACATGTTATTTTTTCTTTTTTTGGATCATATTATAATCCATATTAGTGTGTGAATGTGTAATTCACTTTCGTATGTGTCACTGTGTTTATTTGATGTAATCAGAACTTTTTGAGTTATATAAAGGTTATTCAACTCTTTTGCATTTTCATATTGTGACATTTGAGAAAATAACTATTTCTGCGTTATAGAGTACTCTGTCAACTAAAAAAATCTGCGAATAAACTGTTTACAAAATGCACAAAACAAACAGCTAAACAACTTATGTAGAACAGGGGCAGAGTGGTCATTTATCAAGAATAAGCTGTTTTCTCAACGCACAAACCAAACAGTCAGCCAGCTTATTCGGATCAACTGCTCATCAGCAGATTATCAGAATCAGCTGATTATCAGCAGAAGCTGGATAAGCTGCAGCTGCCCCCAGCACAGGCCCTTAGTCTGGAGTCGAAAGAAGGTAAATCCATTTATCCTGAGTGTATTTAGTTGTTCAATATACGTTCATGTTGATGAATGATTCAGGAGTAAACTTAATTCGAAATTTGTCCAATGCACATTCATTGTATATGACTCAGATGAATTTGGGTACAAATTTTGAGATTATCATAATCATAAGTTAATTAGGAGTAGGGATGTGACTTAAAATAAACTAGAGATGTGCACAGACAGAAACAAAACTTAGGATTGCCCATCAGTTACTTCTAAAGGGTTTTCCAAATATTTTGAGATAGAGAATACTGGTGATCAAAAGGATTGAGAAAGAAAAGACGCTCATTCTGATGAAGCTTAGGAAACTCCTTAGATGCCTGCTACTGAAATTAGAAGGTCCAGTAGAATTACACGACTAATACAGATGTACTCTCCTTCTTTGTACTATGAACTAAAGTTATATGAAGAAGTCACTCAAGTTGAAGATTCAAAGGAGTGAGAGCTTGCCATAGATGCAAGATGCAATCACTGAGGACTAAGCAGTCTTAAGATTTGACATAATTATTAGACAACAAAAAAACATTGCATAACAAGTGAGTTTACAGATTGATAGAAGTGTCAGATGGTAGCAGAAGCTATAAGGCAAGGTTTGTTGTGAAAGAGTTTCAGTAGATGACAACTATCAAAGTTGTGCTGAGTTTGGTAGCATAAGAAAATCTACATCTAGATCAGATGAATGTGAATGTAACTTTTTTACATGGTTATTTGGAAGAGGAACTGTATATGGTGCAATCTCAGGGATATGAAATTTTAGGGAAAGTGCATATTGAAGAAGAGTTCTTATACTTTGAAGCATGCCCCAGTCAGTGGTACAAGAGATCTGACAGGTTTATGTCTGGCAGTGAGTGCATAAAGTGTCAAACATATCATTGTTGCTTCATAAAAAAAAATTGGCATTTGTCATATTATATTTGTATTGTATGTAGATGACATGCTGATTGCAGGGGTATATATGAAGAAGAACAGAGACTTGAAGAAGCAATTATGAAGGGAGTTTGAGATGAAGATTTAGGTCCAACTAAGAAGATTCTTTGTATGAGAATCAATTGTGATAGGAGTGCAGGTACAATGAATTTTTTTTAAACATAATATATTAAGGTCATACACTAGTTCGACACGAGAGATAAAATCAGTTTTCACTTTGTTAGATAATCAATTTAAACTATCTAAGAAACTATCACCTAAGTCTGAAGCAGAACAAGCAAAGATGAAAAGTACTCTCTATGCTTCAACTGTTGGAAGTTTGTTGTATGTAATGATATGTATGAGATCAAATATTGCACATGCATTGAGAGTGGTCAACAAACACATTGGTAATTCAAGAAAACATTTGTTTGTGGCAATGAAATGAATTTTTCAGATACTTGAGAGAAACAATCAACAAGACACTTTGTAGATTTATATATGGCAAGGGATATTGATGGTAGGAGTACAACAGGGTATATCTTTATTTTAGGGAACACAACAATGAGTTGGGTTTTTTAGGCTATAGAAGATTGTTGCACTTTCAACATTAGATGCCGAATACATTGCTATCTTCAAGGCTAACAAGAAGATGATTTGGCTGCAAATTTTTATGACAAAACAGGGCAAGGAGCAAGCAATTAGAAAGTTTCATAATGACAATATGAGTGTTATTCATTTAGTTAAAAATGTGATTTTTCATACCAAGACGAAACACATTCAGTTAAGATGTTACTTTATTCACTCTTCTAGAAGATGAATAATTATTCTTAGAGAAGATGCCTATAGCTTAGAATCTTGCATATATATTGACTAAGGTGGTTACAATTGAAAAACTGAAGTTATACTACATTTCAGTAGGAGTTCAAAAAGATTGAGACCAAAGGGGGTTGAGCCACACTACAGTACACGATTATGAAGATGATATAGATTTGGAGCATAGGTGGTTGCAATCAGTCTCCAAGTAAGAGATTATTATACAATAAAACCTGATTTGACCAGTAAAAGCATCTAGGGGCGAAAAACTTGGCACTTGGTGCCCTAGTGTTTGTGAGGCGCCCTAACACCCAACCAATGTTTTCTAGACGAAAACAAGATACCAGCAAGTGGAAACCTAGTGCTATTGACTTGTTTCCAGTATTTTCAAACAAAGCGTCCGAAAACTCGGCGCTCGGGACTGGCAATTTAGTGTCCAGAAGAACGACTCCAGAACTTGAGTATGTGGAATGCCGGTGGTCAAGAGGGGCGTGGAGGCACCCATATCACATCTTGCACTCGAGCACTAGGAAACCGAACGCTCGGAACCAATACTTGTAATCGATTTGCAGCTCGAAACTTTATGTTTCGGGTTTCTTCATTGTGGTAAGGGAAAGCGAACAGCACAAAGGTGTTCGCTTGTTTTGAGTGGATTTCTACGAGTTTCTCTTATGCTATCAAGTGAAAAGAAGCGTTTGTGAGTTTCAGGATTGCAGAGAGGATTTGAGTGGTGTAATATGTATATTCTCCTCATTTCATAGTGAATTACTTGGTGTGCTATGGCTCCATGATTTTTTTCTCGTTATCGGGTTTTTCCACATTAAATCTTTGTGTTTTATTTTGTGTTTCTTGTTTGCATGTTTCTGCTCAATTCTTTGCTTCAGATCTCTCAAATCTTTGTTTTTTTTTCCGACAAATATATAAGTATTGGATGGTATGTATGTAAATGGCCCAAAAACTTATTGTGATCTTAAGTTCAAGGACATTATTATTGTTTCTACTCTTTAGATAATGATTTTTGAAAATCTTGTAAAATGTTTTATATTCAGAATTTTTTTGTTGCCTAATGCCTCTCCAATTGATCCGCAGGCAACAAACAACTCCATAGCCAAACTTCCAGATGAATTTGGCAAATGTTTGAAGTTAAGTAAAGTCGATATCGAGGTATCACGAAGTGCTTGTCTTTTTAACTCACAGGAGCATTCCTTTATTGTATTAGCAAGACTAAGAAATTTTCATTCATAATTAGTAGAAAGAATCTAATTATACATTGCTATTTCAGGGAAACAAACTAACAGTAATACCAGAAAACGTTTTGAGGTCATGGACTACGCTCACAGAGCTTAATGCCGGTACATGTAGTTTTAGAAGTAGATTATTTTGTATACTTGAGTGCATATCTTGGCTTGATATTTTTAAATTTAGGCATTTACAGATATAGCACATAAATCGTATGTATTTACATATCTCACATTTGAACTTTAATATTTTCAAAATTCATCAAAATTAGCTCTATTTTCACTTTTATAGAGTGAAACATATCTTTTTATGCATAGGTTTAAAGCACCAAAATGCTATGTGTGTAATATGAAGTTCAGGCGTGAGATAAATAAATACATATGAATCGTGTGCTACATCTGTAAATTTCTCTTTTAAAATTGATCATCTATCATAATTCTTTTTGAATCGAACCATACTCAACGTACTCCAATTTTCTGCTCTAACAGCAAGGAATCTACTGACAACAGTTCCTGATAGCATTGGGGTCCTAACAAAATTGATACGTCTTGACTTCCACCAGAACAGTGAGTTGAAAATATATATGTAGACAATCTTCATTTATTTCAATAATTATTCTTGTATTCCTAAGTATTTATTTTGCATGTTTTTTTCATGTTTATGTATGTAGAAATTTCATCGATTCCATCTTCAATTATGGGTTGTTGCTCATTAGCTGAGTTTTATATGGGGTATGCTTATACATTAAGATTTATTACATCAGTTTCTAATTGCTGCATGATTTTTTTTTTGTTTCATTCATGTGCTAATATTTCTCTCATTTGTTGGTGACCGTTGAATGGCTCCTTTTGCATTGTATTGTCTACTTTAAATTTCAGAATCAATTTGCTTTCATCACTACCTCAGGAACTGGGTGCACTTTCTCGTTTAGGAACTCTGGATCTTCATTCAAATCAGGTATTTTGGTGAAGTTCTTTTATGGCTTGAAGATCTCAGTTTTGTTGCTTTTATGTATTATCCAGTCTACACTGAACATTTTCTTGAAAATTATTTTCTTGTAGCTTTCTAAGAGCATTATTTTTCTTGCTTCCAAAAAAATTTATTGTGAAAATGCCAAAATATAAAGATTAAAGAGAGAATCTTCATATGATTGTTATTGATTCTAGGAAGACGATTGAGTATTACGGAAATTGATTTAGTGCATGCAATTTATCTCCCCTAATGTTTAGTTGAAGGCTTGCGTTACTAAAGATTATTTAGAGCTATATTTGACATTAGGTGTAGTTGTTGATTGACTTAAAATTTTCTAATTAGCCTAAGTTTAATATTTTGGAAGTATGATAGGTTTAATTATGTTGGAGATTGGAGGTATAAATGATGATATAATATCTTGGATCAAGGTTGGATGATTAAAATGGAGTACTTAAATATATTTTATTTTATTTTATTTTATAAGAAGAGAATATTATGGGGCTTAAAGACAAATCTTATAAAATTATAATTAGTGTGATGAGGTTTATGGGATCCAAATATTGGATCGTAAAGTTCATGATTTGGCCTGGGGGTTTAAAATTTCTAAGACTGGAATGGATGGCGGATGGTGAAAATTCAAATTTAATTATTCATTCTAAAACCTAAATAAAGAAAGAGCCACTAATGATTTAAATTTATATTAAAAAATTAATAAATTTATCTTTCTATTTGTTGATTTCACATTCTGTAGACAATTTCACTTCTAGCACTTATCTTTTATTCAAAAGCTTGAATATGAAAAATGTTAAAATAACATAATGTGTTATTTAAGATAACACATTGGAGTAATTATACTCCTTAATTATAGTAACTCAATGAAGAGAAAATATATTGATATTTCCTAATATGTTCTAAAACATTATATAATAATCTACATCATGTATACATAGCATTTGCTCGTGGAAGAAATAAAAATTTTTATATGCGTGAATTTTTGTTTTACTTCTCAAAGTGTAACTTTTTTATACGCATCTCAGTTGTAAGTTGTAATTTATATATTTTTCTCAGGAGCACCTAATAACTATATGCTAACACACATACATCATTGGTACAACGAGACGAATTAGGTTTGTTATTTTTAGAGGTGAAAATATATATATTCGCCCCTGACTGATATTCTCCCGTCAACACATTGGTTAGTGATCTAAATTTTACAATTTTTTGAAGTGGTAGTAAAATATCTATGGGCGCAGGTACATTGACATCCTTACTAATCACAAGTGGTTAAACTCTTTCTCTTTGTATGCATATACAAACATTCATATATATAATATTTTTATTTCGTACTTTCAAACATATATTATTTTTTTATGAGATACTTTGTATTTAACTAGAATGAATAAATATATTTCTACTAGAATCTAAAGGCCATGTAATTATCTAATATTTTTCTAGAATAAACTATTATGTTGTTGTTTATGCAGAAATATTAGCATGCAGAGTTCTTATCTAACAATATGAAAACATCAGGAATATTCTAAGTCTTAATGATATAGAATAGGGTTGTGAAAAATTAAAATAAAGAATACAATAAGAAGTAAACAATATTACTATAATATAAAAATATAATTAATCACCTTAATCTTATTTGTTTATTTTTCTCTCATTAATTTTTTTATTGTAGAAATATAATTACTATCTTAACAATTCACATACAAACATTTATATATACAATATTTTTATTTCATTCTTTAAAGCATATATTGTTTTTTTATGGGATACTTTATAATTATCTATAAACGAATAAGTACACCTCTACTGAAATCTAAGTGCTATGCAACAATATAATATTTTATAGGAAAATTGTTATGTAATTGTTTGTGCATAAATATTAACATACGTGCTTCTTGTCTAATAATATGAAGATATCACTGATAGTCTAAGATTCAATGATATAAATCACAAATATGAAAAATTAAAATAAAGAATACAATAAGAATAAATTTTATTGTAATGTATAAACATAATTACTTTTCTTGATTTTGTTTGCATATTTGTTTCTCATTGAAACACTGTCATTGCCGGTCCCAAGTCTGGATGTGAAAAGTGGAGGGTTGCTTTAAGTAATCGATAGCCAGCGTAAAACTTGTTGAAAAAAATCATGACTTGAATCCTTTTGATCTTTGTGTAAGTGTTAGGGCGTCCCTGGAAGCGATGCGTTGTATAGCATGAATACAGTGAAAAGTGTGCAAGGGCCGCTACATCGGCGCCCGGGTATAGTGTCAAATAAGCAAGGGTTCCCACAGTACGGATGGATGCGGGTAAAAAAGTTAGTCCATAAAACTATGAAATCAATATTATGATAGGATCTTGGAATATAAGTACTCTTAATGATAAATTAATGGAATTAGTTGATATTATAATTCATAGAAAAATTAATATCTTATATATTCAAGAAACTAAATGCGTTGGTGTAAATGCTAAAGAAATTGATAACTTAGGTTTTAAACTTTGGTATTCTGGTAAGAGTCGCACTAGAAATGGCGTAGGTGTAATTGTAGATAAGAGTTTGAAATATAATGTTGTAAAAATTAATAGAGTTAGAGATAGAATTATAACCCTTAAGATTATCATTGATACTAAGATTTCTATGATCCTCAAGTAGGTTCAGATATAGGGTCTAAAGATAAATTATGGAATGACTTTATAATAAATTAAGTACTAAGGAGAGTGAAAAATATGGAATGACTTAATATAAATGATACCTTTTGAAGAAAGAATTTTTATTGGAGGAGATTTAAATGGACATGTCTGTAGAGTGGCAGAAAATTTTAGAAATACTCGTGGTGGTTATGATTTTGGAGTGACTAATGAAGAAGGTAGAGTTATTTTAGATTTTGCTTTAGTGTATGATTTTGTTATTACTAATACTTTATTCAAAAAAAAAGATGAGCATCTTATTACTTATAAGAATGAATCTAATAAAACAATTTGATTATTTTCTTATGAGAAGAAAAGATCATCGAAATTGTAAAGATTGTAAGGTCATTCCAAGTGAGGATTAAAGTACCCAACTTTGTTTATTTGTTTTGAATTTTAACATGAAGAGCTGTAAAATAAAAAATACTAGGACTCATCATCGTAGAATTAGATGAGTGAACCTAAAAGACACAAATAAAATTATTTTTTATGAGTAAAATTCAAGATTTCAAAATTTGGGATGTTCATGATGAAACAAATGCTATGTGGGATAAAGTAACAAACGCTATTAAGCAAGTAGTAAAAGATGTACTTGGAAAATCGAAATAAAAAATTTCTTTAAATAAAAATAGTTGGTGGTGGAATAATAATGTGCAAGAAAAAATAAAATATAAAAAGTTATGTTATAAAATTTAGTTTAAATGTAAAAACTTAGAGAACTGAGAAAAATATCAAACGGTCCGCAGGGAATCTAAAAGAACAGTATGTGATATTAAAAATTTTGCTTTTAATGATCTTTATAATAGATTAAGTACTAAGGAGAGTGATAAATATATGTAAAACTGGTCAAACAAAGAGAAAAGAAAAGTAAAGATTTAACTCGAGTAAAGTGTATTAAAGATGGAAATATAAAAATATTTTCTTAGAAAAAATATTCAACATGGGTGGGTGATTTATTTTGATAAACTTTTTAATGAAGTTTCTGAAAATACGATTGACCTTAGTGATCTTAATATCGTTAATAATAATAAAACATTTCATTTTTACCGTCACATTGGTAAAAAAAGAAGTTAAAGAGGCTTTAAAGAAAACCAAGCGTCTGTGTAGTATGGAAATGTTTATGAAATTTGGGAGTTTCTTGGCTTACTAAACTTTTTAATATTATTTTAACTAAAATGATATCTGAGGAGTGGAGGAAGAGTATTTGGTCTCCATTTTTAAGAATAAAGGGGATGCACAAGAGTGTGCAAATTATAAAGAACTTAAGTTGATGTGTCATACTTTAAAATTATGGGAGAGGATAATTGAAAATAGGTATTACAAAGATTACTCATAATCAATTTGGATTTATACCGGGGTCTACCATGGAAGCTATACATTTATTGAGAAGTTTGATGGAGAAGTTCAGAGAAAATAAGGAGAATCTACATTAGATTTTTATTGATTTAGAAAAAGCTTACGATAAGGTTCCAAGAGATATCCTTTAGAGAGTTTTTGAGGAGAAAGGTGTTGATATGACTTATATTCAAGTCATTAAAGATATGTATACTAGAGTTGTTACTTGTGTTCGAACTGAAGGAGGATTGACCAAATATTTTCCTATTTCTGTTGGATTACATCAGGGATCAACTTTAAATCCATTTCTTTTTGCTTTAGTTATGGATGGTCTTACTGGAATTTTACAGGTGGATGCACCTTGATTTATGCTTTTGCTGACGAGAGAAAAAGTCCAAGAAAACTTGAATTATGGAGGTCTTCATTTGAGTCTAAAGACCTTCATTTGAGTAGAACTAAAACTGAATACATGGAATGTAATTTTAGTGGTAGCAGCTCTAGTGACATAAGTGTAACTTTGGGTGATCAAGTTATTAAAAAGTGTAAACGATTTAGATATATCGGGTCTGTTGTTCAAAGCTATGGTGATATAGTGGGGGATGTAATAGTAGAATTCAAGTTGGTTGGTTGAAGTGGAGAAATGCTTCGGGCCTTTTGTGCGTTTAAAAAGTACCGCTTAGACTGAAAGGAAAATTTTATAAGTCGGTGGTGAGACCTACAATGCTTTATGACGCTGAATGTTGACCTTTAAAAGAGAAGCATGATACTAAGTTAAGTGTTGCCGAGATGAGAATGATTAGGTGGATGAGTGACTTTACACTTAGAAGCGATGGTGATATAGTGGGGGATGTTAATAGTAGAATTCAAGTTGGTTGGTTGAAGTGGAGGAATGCTTTGGGCCTACCGCTTCGACTGAAAGGAAAATTTTATAAGACGGTGGTGAGACCTGCAATGCTTTATGATGCTGAATGTTGGCCTTTAAAAGAGAAGCATAATACTAAGCTAAGTGTTGTCGAGATAAGAATGATTAGGTGGATGAGTGGCTTTACACTTGGAGACAAAATGCGAAATGAATATATCCGTGATAGGGTTGGTGTAGCTCCAGTGATGGACAAAATTAGTGAAAGTCATCTTAGATGGTTTGGTCACATTAAGCGTCAACGATCTAATGATCCGATTAGAAGAGTAGATGTTTTTGATTCGACTTATGTTAAAAAGACAAAGGTAGACCTAGGAAAACTTGGGCTTTTTGTATAAAAAGTTAGCTTAATTTATTAGAACTAAATGAAAATATGACACTAAATAAGACACAATGGAGAAAAAGGATTCATGTAGCCGACCCCACGTAGTGGGATTAAGGCTTTGTTGTTGTTGTATTTATTTCTCATTCTTCTTTTCATGATGTAACATCCAACATCATTATAGAAATAATTCATACTTGCTAGTTTATCTTTATCCTCAATTACTCAAAATTTTCCACTCGTTTTATCACCAATTATTTATTATGTTCTAAATAAGATCTTAAAGTGTTTATTTATTTTCCCAAGAAAAATGATAGGTAATTAGAGCTTATTTTTCTGACTCCCTTCATTATTCTATCAATTTGATGATCCCCTTCAATTCTTTTAGTTAACTTACCTAATTGTAGTTCATAAAAGCTGTTATATCAATGCCTAATAAATCAGGATTATTTATATTAATGTTTTAATAAAAATTAAATTTAAATTAAATAAATCAAACCTCAACTTCAATTAGCTTGTACTTTCTTCTTCGAAGTGATCTACTCCTCGATCTCGAATCCCAAAATTTCTTTCTTCAATGCTTCTGATTTTGATTTGCATAAAAGTTATGTTAATGCCTTAATTTAAAGGAATAGTTACATCCTAACCAGCACATGGCCCCTCCTCTGCATGCAAGCTTACATGACTTGGAGTTCCTTCTTAATTCCTTTTTGATGCTGCTCAAATTGCTCTTCTACTGCACATGAAGCTGCACGGTTCGATCCGCACACGAGACTTCTTCTTCCCTCGCCTGTACTAATGTGTTCGGCATTGGCTTCACCTCCAGAACGCACAACGCTTCCTCTATCAATTTTGATGGAGAGCGTCACTGTTCGCTCCTGCGATCGGATCTCCGCTTGACTCTCTCTCCCACATACTGCTTCTCACGATTCTGACGTTCCTTCCTCAGCACCCTACCGAGATTAACACAAACATGTGCCCCTAGCTCCTTCTCCAGCTCTCGGTCTCGCTCTTCTGCTCCTGCTCAGCTTCAAATCCAAGCCCATAAAGGAACATCATTCTTCTCCTTTGTTTCCTTCTAAAGAGTAACACTAACGTTGCAGTGAATTTAAGGCTGGGCGTTACAGTAAAAATATCATGAATGTATAAATTAAGTACGGTGTACATGAGAATGCTAGGATGGGGGTTGATAAATTAGGAATGATAAGTTAAATGATTTTACTGGTGGAAAACTTGGAGAAATATATACTGAAGATAAAATGATTGAAAATATATTGAACCTGTATGGACAATTACCATAAAGGATAGAGAATTCATCCATTACTAGAGTAGACAAAGTCAGTGCAAGTTGATTGGAAAGAAAATTTGGTATACATAATGCTTTATGAATAAAACTTATTCAAAGCGATTATGAAGTATATATTCAGCACCTTGGACAACACAATAGGAGTGAATAAAAAATGAAGATTGATAATGCCAACCCCAAATAGTTATGATAACGTTAATTACAATTTTGTTGAAGTTTCCTCACCCTTCCCTGAAGAGGGATATTTTTAGAGTGAAGTAGAAAGGTATTTTCGTACCTCTTATGAGATGGTAAATGGAGGAGACACTTAGTTTCTGAAATCCTTGTTGCAATGCATCTCGATGGGAGATTTTTTCATTCTCCTTCCAACAAGAGGGTTAAATAATTGCATCTCATCTTGGAGATTCATGCTTGATCGAAGTCATGGAGTAAAGGGTGAAACCCATATAATTTGAGGTGTTTTGCTGAAGATCAAAATCAATTATCGCTGAAGATCAAAATCAGGTTCTAGGATAACTATAAGATTGCTGCTGGGTGTGATTTGAATTGAATTGCTTTATTGGTGCTTAATTTTATGGATTTGATGGTAGGTCCCCACATCTTGTAGGGTGATCTAATAGTTGTTATCATCTGAGTACCATGGCTTTGCCCTACCCTTGTTGCTCGGGAATGATAGAAAGCTATTTGAATGATCATGATTTATTATTACTTTGTTTTTTTAGTGGTGTATCCTCTTTAAAATTTACTTGGAGGCGGTCACATGTGTATGTGTGCACGCTCACTTGTGCTTGAAAGGTATCTGAATCATAGATTCAACTTTTTTTTTCTTCTACCATTGCAGATGACGTCGTTAATGATCTTGATGAACATGTTGTTACAATTATTTTCTTTTACTTGTTTAAGATCTAATCTTATCTCTATAAAAAGAATAAGTAGCCGAATTGAGCTTACCTCTTTTTGAAATTTATCTTCTAGACGTTCAATTACGTAATATCACATCAAACATGCCTTTTAAAATTTGATTTTCTTAATTATATAAACAAATTGAAATACTTGGATAATATCGTTGTACTATGGTTGTGTTTACTTTTTATTTTTTCCTTACATTCTGTGTATTTGCTACTTGAAAATATTTACAAGTTGGTGATTGGTTATTTTATTAAATTTTCAGTTGAAGGAGTTTCCTGAGGAAGCCTGCAAATTACAGCTTTCTGTTCTTGATCTTTCCAATAATTCGTTATCCAGTTTGCCTCCAGAGATTGGTAAGGTTAGGATACGCCTATTGTAAATTTCCTTATTATGTGCATGGCAACAAGATTTTCATTCTGAAAAGCATTAAGTAGGATACCTTCATAATTTTTATTTTGAGAAACCTCTCGGTCATCTAATTTCATCACGGCGTTGATGATTAAACTGATGGTAATCCACTCCAGTATTTGAAATTTTAAAAATGACTTGGGTAAAGTTTTTTCTTCCCGGCAAGTGATTCAAAATCCAATGTTAGAGACGGCATTCGGTTGCACCTTATTATTTGAATACATGTAATCTGACTAGACGTGATCATTAATGTTCTGTAGAAGGGCATTTCTCTGCACTTCTACATATATTTTAAGTAAATATACTTGCGAACTCGACGGCCTAGTTCACATTGGCTTTAGCTCTTGGTGTTCACTCATGAGAAACATGTCAAGGCGGCGTTTGGCACTGAAGTAAAGTTGTCATTGTGCAGATCACTTATACACTTTATGGAAGCCCAAAACTTTGCTTATTGTTTTCCTAAATCTTTATCTTTAGAATTTCTGGTTAAAATGTTACCCCATGAATTTCTGACTGGTTGAACATGAATAGCTGACTTCAGGAGTCGTCTTTTTCCTGAATTGAAGTATTATGATATTTCTGAACTAGTTTTATTACATGCTTGATATAAATGTATAATTACGGTTGCATACATCAATACAAGTAATCCTTCTTTTTAGTACACACAAAGCCGGAGGTCCAGTCTCTGGTAGTCCCTAAAACTACCTGGCTTGCCACTGAAGCACTTAAGTATTTTCTGAAACGCAAAATTTTTTTAAAAATTTTTTTATTCCTACTGAGACGCAAGCTTGCCAAGGAATTAGATGTTGTGATGTTTGAAAATTCATAACTCGGATTAAAAATTTATTGTTCAAATGATCATTGATTAAGCTATTATTTACTAACCTTGATTTAACTTTGCAAACTATGAAAATTCACACTTCATGATAAGTTAATGATCAATTAAGACATAGAAATTCAATGGAAAATTTTAAGCCACCAAAAATCAAACAATGATTAAGGCTCACTATAAAAGAAGCCAGTAACAAAATTGACACCGATATAAGGTTTCCTAGATGGTATGGGATGACGCAAAGAAGGGTTAGGTGAGTTGTAGGATGTGAAAAGAGGGTTGGAAGATGATGTCTGAGAAATCTATCTCGGCGGTTGAGCAGCAAGATGGAAAAAAAAAAGCAGTTCGTCGGTGACAAAAGAGGCCTTCGGACATCCGGGAGAGATCACCACATCAATTCAATCATGTTATAGTCACACCATCAAAGGGAAATCAAATGATACAATACTCTAATAGAAAAAACAGGGATAAAACTTCTCTAAATAACAGAAATAAAACTAAAAGTCTGCAAAATGACAACCTTATAAGTAATTCCCAAGCAAAAATAACCCTAATTTTAATTTAAACAATAAAAAAATTGGAGCCCACAAGATCTGGTGGCAATGAATCAGTGGCAAAATTCTGCTACAGCTTTCACGGACTAAATTTCTGCCTCCGGCATCCTCTAGAGCAAGTTGGAGCCTTTGTTATTATTTCTTTTAATTTTTATTTTATTATTGTTGCTGTTTATTTAGAGGGGGTGGTGTGGGGACAAAAATAATATTTTAAAAAAGATTGTAATGACATGTTTTTTAATAAAAGCCATGCTCCCCCCTTTCTCTTTCCTAACTCTCATATTCCCAACTAATCCTATCCGTCAGCCAATCTACTATTCCTCTGTCTCCTTGCAAACTCCTCATCACAACTAGTAAAAAATAGGAGGGACACCTTGAGCTCTCTGCAGGCAACCTATTCATATTATTTTTGATATGATGGGCTTATTTTTAGTAGACTTTAGGTGATTTATTGTTAAAAAATATTCATAAATCCCCTTATATATTTTTGTTGGTGTGACAAGATGATTTACGTGTAACTCATATGAGGGTGTGTAAGCGCTGTAAAAAGTTTCTCTTAAATTGGATATGTAAAGATGCCGGGAAGAAATATAAGCTAGAATGAAAGTTTGCAAATAAACAATGATAAAAGGTTACATTAAAAGTCTGTAAGTAGATTGTTGCACATTTTGATCCAACACCCACTTAGAAAGATGTGAACTTCTCTTCCTACTACCCACATTAGTCCTGAATGATTTTAAATTGTTGCACATAGAGCTCAAGTCAGAAACCTGAAATGAGGTACTTGGTATTTTGTAAAGCATAGAAAATGTGAAGACATGTTCTGAGAAAAATAAACAAATTCAGGCAAATAAAATGTAAGTCTCATAAGTGAAAAAAATAGATTGTCATTGTGAAAATGAAAAAAATAAATACAACTACACAAAAGAAGCAGGGAAACAAAAAATTAACAAAAATTTTAGAATTTAAGAGCATTCCAAGATAATTTTAGGAGCCATGTTTAATGTTCGAACTTTTTCAGGGCTATATTAAATGCGCAATTCCTCAATTTTATACCCAATACAAATCATGTAAATACATTAAATTTTAAATGAGGCGGAAGAAGCTATACATACCAAATTTGAGTTCACTAAAGCTTGGTCCTCTATTTTTTAGGGTTGTAGTTAGAGGTGTTGATGAGTCAAGCCAAGCTCGAGCCAATTCGAACTTGAGCTTTGAATTTGAGCTCAATCTTGAGCTCAATTCTTTGAGTTCAAGTCAGCTTGTGAATTAGAAGATGATTCTAATTTAAGTGTTTATAATAATGTAATAAAAAGAATGAGAAATTTGAGCATATTATTTAGTTGAAATAAAAAAGAATAATTTTTAAGTGTTTTTTGTTAAATTTGTACTTAAACTCTTGAATTTAATATATTTTAATTGTATGTATATTAATATTATTTAAACAAATTAGCTTATTAGCTAAAAAGTTGAGCTGAAGGTGGCTCAGGTTTGGTTCTTTTGTTCTATGAGGTGAGCTCACATGCCATTGACCGAACTGAGCTTGAGTCGGTTTTGCTCATCACACCGTTAGGTTGGAATCAATAGGGCATATGTTTTTAAAATTGTCTAAACTATAAGAGTGTGATTACAGTTCTCTTGCCTAAGTTGAATTAGCCTTTTCTTTTCGCTAAGATCTTTGGCAATGTATTTGCATAAGGCCTTCAAGTTCTTTTATGATGAGAACTCTTAAAAAAATAAAATAAAATAAAATAAAAATTATAGATTGTCTTATTTCTAAGGCAAGATTGTAAATCCTAAACTTTGGTTTTTTGGCAATATTTTAAACCCTAAATTGTGGTTTATTTTAATTTTTTACCTTCCCTTTCTGTACCGATCCATATCAATTAAAAAAAAAGAAGCAAAGTCGACAACGCCCCTTACATGATCATTATCATATAAAAATAGATGTAAACATGCAAAATTTGTTAGCTTAGCTATTGGGTAAAATTTTGAGTCTCACCCCTTGAGCCTTCCTAAAATCTTCTTTAAGCAAGCCACAGTGTTAATGTTATTCACATCATTTATTAGTATTAAAAAATTGAATTCAAACGCTATACACTTTTAGATCAATTTCAACCCAAGTTTGCAAGTAAACAAGCAAAGGCAACATAACACCTAACACGCTAATTATCATATAAAATTAAATAAACTTATAAGAGGTTCCCCTTAGTTATAGTGCATGGTGATAATTTATAAGTTTTCTTCTTCTCACTTGGTGTAATTTAGGCCCCACTTTAAAAGTTGATCTCTATGCACAAGAGTTTAGTAAATGAGGGCTATAACATGATAACCGACTTTGGTCAAACTCTTTGCATGCAAAGGGTAGTAGAGTTTATAGGTCTATATCCCAACCCAATATTTCTCGATAAGGCTAAGATCTATCCATCATCCATGCTAGTTTGCTATGAATGACATTTCTAAGTTCATGAAGTTTTAGCATGCCAAGTATTAAAAAATATTGAAATAATGGCCAAATCACTAGACTATGATCGAGTGGATACAAATGGTTGAATTTTCAAAGCTACTTATTTCCTTCCTTGACTATAAGACGAACGACAATCGTGCAAGGTAGGCCCCTATTTAACACATCAGATGGCAGATTTGGTGTTCCAATGTTTATTCAGTTTTACAAACCTCAATAACACTACACTTTATATAACTTTTTTGCTGGTTTAATAAGTCTGTCATTGGATCAAAGATATCAATTTTATACGGTTTCCACCTTAACACCCTAATTTTGATCATGGTGATGGTTTTAGTTAACATAATTGCATAATTACAAGGGTCTATCATCTAAATCAAGCTCTCAGTTACAAGGAAAATTACTATTAGCCTTCTCCGTTATGATGAGCGTAGTTATTGCAAATCATAATCAGAGGGGTTCATGGTAAAAAATGCTCTCAATCAAGAGACACTTAAATTTTTTTTTTCTAATGATAGCCATAATCAAATTGAAATTATAATTGGAGGATATTTGATTATAATAAATTCTCCATTTATACACACAAACCAAATTCGAGCCAAGAATGACATTTCTAAGTTTGACAAAAGGTAGCAATTAACTAATAATATATCAAGTCTGTCCATATGGTCACCCTTAGATAACTCATACCAGTAAAGATGTGACACACACCCTTTGCCCCAGATGTTTAACATTATTGAGATATTGCCATTATATTATGGTTATGGTCCAAAAATTTAGGTTCCTTGCTGCTAAACCAGTGAGTTGTGTATTATAAAGCACTTTTGAAAGGGCATGGAGCCCTCTATTAGCCGTGGCCAACTTAAATGTGTATTATCGTCCACCAGATGAAGGAGAGACACTCGTGATTCGATAGGCCCTACAGATCGAGGATACAAGAGATTCGCAGCTGCTTTGCCACAATATATTCTACACTCGTTGCACCGTGAACAGGAAGGTATGTGGTCTCATTAGTTGATAGAGATGGCAATAAAAATGTGGCATCTACACAGATGTTGGAGAAGTTGGGCTTCATGACTCGGGGGCACTCCCAACCATATTTTCTGACGTGGCTGAAGAATGAGAATATGATCAGCATTGACCGGAGGTGCCTAGTAGAATTTTGATCAGGAGCCACCTGCAAGATCGGGTATGGTGTGACGTGGTACCCATGTATGCCTGTCACTTGTTATTGGGGAGGCCGTGATGGTTTAACGTAAAACTTAGTATGACGGATTCAAAAACACCTACTCCTTCACTAAGGATTGGAAGAGCATCATTCTTCTCTCTTCGACGGAGCCTGAGATCACAAGTGCCCTTGCCAATAGAACATCAGTGTGATCAATATTGGTGACGACAGAGAATGATAAGACTGAGACACCAGCTTTGGACACGGAACATGCATGACAGATAACATTTCAGGATATCATGGTCAATACTTTACCACCAGGCCACCTCAGGCCACTACCGTTCGGGGAGAAACAAATTACCCTCACTTCGGATCAAGTTGAGCTGGCGTGGATTACTTTGAGAGTATACAACAACATAGACGAGACATGCAAACTCAGTTCAGTTCAACAATGGACCCCTAGGAGAGCGGATCGATAAGATTGTATGCTCGCAAGTGGAGGAAAATCTTTAGGTGCTTTAGAAGGCAGTATAACCAACAGTGGAATCTAGGTGCTTTTAGGATTGAAGACGAATAACCAGAAGCTTTGATGAATGAAATTGAAGCGCTCCCCCAACCCCGGGAGACTGAGGCTGGGGACTTAGGGGAGGCCTAACCTGACTGAACCGGCACTGAGTTCAGCCAAAGACCCTTCATTTAGCAGGAGGTTGGACTAGCCCCCACCTCCCTCTTTCATTGGGCGGGAATTATTCCTCATTGGGCGGGAAATATCTATTATAAATATGTGTGTTGCCTGTCTTAGGGTTTAGTTTTTATCTTTCTGATTTCATAATTTTGTCCAGCTTGTTGTTGGCGGGTGGGTTGTTGTTGGCGGTTGTTTTCTCTTCTAGGACTGTATCTGAAGGCGACGAGCTCCGACTGTAACTTGTCCGAGGTGTTGATCTTCTCCAAAGGTTCGAGGGGTGCTCCAGCTATAAGTCAATCTCGCGAGGATACTTATCTTCCCCAACATCCCCGCCCCTTTCCGTGGTTCTAGCTGCCAAACCTTCCTCCCTACCGCTGCTAACTTACCCGCACTTCCTCTACTCTTAATCGCCACGTCGAGGTCCACTCTCTACTGTTGTGCCTTACATGCACCCAACCCCTCTTGTTCACCCTTTCCGCAATATTGTCGCTGACCCACTCCCTCACGCCTGCTACAACCAACCAGCTATAAGTTACTATCCAACCATCCCTCATTGCATCGTAACCCCATCCAATCCATCCCACGACTGCCATAACTCCCTCCAGCACAACCCGTTATTGCCGCAAGCCCCAACTAGCCCTCCCCTCTGCTGTCTAGCCGCCAACCTCCATCCTCGTCCTCGTCTATGGTGTTGTTTGTGTTTGTTTGTTGTTTATTTCTTGTTTTCACAAGTCTTCCTTATATTCTTTTGAATTTCAGCAAATAATAATTTCATTTTTATCGTGATTTGGGGTAACTCCGGTATCAGTCTTCATGTAAGTCATCTATGTTTGGGCAAATAACTATGTAAATTCATTAGATCTTGATTCAATAGAAAGATCAACAGTCTATTAGCTTTTTTTGGTTGAAATCTTGTAACAATTTCAAATGGACTTATGATTACAGACCTATAGAAATATGGATTTTATGCAAATTCAGTTATATACTTAATTTAACAGCTCTAGAATGAAGTTTGCAGTCTCTGATTAATTTTTTTCTTGAATTCATTAGCATTAATCTCAAATTTCACATTTAATTTTCCATTCTGCATTTTTTTTATTTGCTAATGCTTTTTTCAGGTACCATGTCTTCCCTGAGAAAACTCCTGCTTAGTGGAAACCCTATACGAACAATTCGTAGGTGAGAAAATTTTCTTCTTGTTTATTGATTGAATAGTTTTCTTTGACATAATGCTCGACCTAGCATTGTACCATTTCTTTCTTTTCAGTTCTTTGGTTTCTGGACCTACACAGGCATTATTGAAGTATTTAAGAAGTCGACTTTCTTCTACTGGAGAAGGTGAAGTCGCTTTTAGAGGGACTGTTTTATTTTAGTTACCTGCTTCTGAAGAAATCTTTCATTTATAATTAAAATACTCAAACAGGAATCTTAATGAAACTTCCTTCTCATTTAGCATGGCCATAAAGATTTTTTCTGTTGATTAATGTTTTTATATAGCCTCCGGATCAAGCAGCAGCCCTATGAATGCTGATGTTATTGCCAAGGCAACTAGGTTGTCTCTGTCATCAAAGGTGTTTGCTTTGTTTCTATTTTATTTTCTTGTTAATTTTCTTAACTGTGTTTCTATTTTATTTTCTTGTTTATTTTCTTAACTTAGGTTCACCAGATTTTGGAATTCATGATTTCCATGATCTTTTTTTGTTCTTACTTGGAGATAATTTTCTGTGGAAAGATTAGAATATGTTTTTTAATAATTCAGGAACTATTCTTATGTGGACTTGGATTGACCAGCATCCCAGCTACTGTCTGGGAGACGGATGAGGTGGTGAAAGTTGATCTTTCAAGAAATTCAATTACGGAGCTCCCAAATGAACTGGCGACTTGTTCCTCACTTCAGGTATGTTTTGCAATATGTTGTCATTTAATCATGGTAATTACAACTTTCAGTAGATAAAAATGGGCATATCTGGAAAATGAGGCCCCTGCCAATATGAGAATTTCAGCGGGTTTGCTGTATTAAAGCTTTGGTTTTACGAGTTCTGACTTTTGTAAGGTTTTTCATTTGTTAGGGCGTATGCTTAGGGTGGGTGTTTTGGGGTGGGGCGTGTGGAGGGATGTGATCTATTAATCCAAATTTAATGAACAAAGAAAAGGAAACATCTGGGCATAATATAAAACCCAATGTACACAAAATTCACCTATACGAAGGATGAGGCACGGGAACTTGATCATACATCAAATGAACAAGTATAATAATTAACCCAAACAATCTAGAATGCCATATTGGGAGGATTTAAACTTCCCAAAACTTGCAAAAAAACACGGATTCAAGAGATCTGGAACAAACAAATTGAACAAAAGCATACAAACAAGAAATCCCAGAAACAAACTCCACGATTTAACGTGGAAAAACCTTAAAACGAGAAAAAATCACAGAGCCACACTTCGCCAAGAAATTTACTATGAAATGATAAAAAATATATAGATTACACCACACTCAAATCCTCTTTACAATCTTGGAACCCACAAATGTTCCTTCTCTCTCTATCACACAGGAGTAATTGCAAGAATCCACCCACAATACGCAGACATGGCTTCACGCTATTCCGCTCATCTCTCCCGCATTGAAGAAACCCGAGACTTAAAGCTCGGACTACAGAAATTAGTTACAGGCGCCAAGTCGCCGCTTCTGAGAGTTGGGTTTTCTAATGCTTGGGTGCAGGGACGCTATCGTGCCCATCACAGGCACTATCTTTCCATGTGCTCGGGTCCCGGAGTCGTTCTTTTTTGCATTGGATTGCTCGTCCAGAAAGCCGACTATTCGGGCACTCTGTTTCTGAAAAGCTGAAAACGTGCTCCTAGGCGCTGCTTTTCCACACGCTCGGGTCCTGGAGCATTTTGCTAGGCGCTTAAGCGCCCCACTAGCATTGGGGCCGAGCACTAGAGTGCCCAACTTCAACCCACTTGAGTCTCTTCCAGTGCTTCTCCTGAGCCCCTTCCAGTGTTGCTTCAAATCTATGAGTGTGCTTTGAACAATACAATAACAATCTCCCACTTGGAGACTAATTGCAACCAATCTTACACCTCCAAATCTGTCACTTTAATAGTCATGTATTGTAGTGTGGCTCACCTCCGATCGTCTCAACTTTTCTAAACTCCAACTAAAGCCAAACATAGCTTCAATTTCTAAATTTTAACAACTTTAGTCAATTTATCTGCAGGATTTTTAGTTGTGTCTTCTCCAAGATTAATTGTTCACCTTATAGAAGAGAATGAATGCAGTGATACTTTAGTTGATCATCAAATACATCAAACTTTCAACTGTTGAAACATAGGGGTTTTTTTCTTAATCTTTATTTGCTCTATTTCAGACCTAGGATATAGTTATTTTAGATAGTTTGAAATGACTATATAAAGGGGTGCGAATTAACTTTGCCTCAGTCGTGTTGCATCTTTATAGGATTTTCTTAACATATTTTATTTGAGACAAATTCAAAGTACATGCACAACTATCCTTGTTGATTTTCATGCAATGGATCTTCTTGTTTGAACCTAAATTCTTTATCTCAAGCTCTCAACATATGGGAGAACTCTTCAGAAATAATTGATGGGCAATTTTGAGTTCTACTCGTTCTTATACTTGTTCATTTCATCAAAAGTCATATTCCTACTCCTGATAAACTTTTGATTCTCATAATTCCAGAATTTATACCCAATTCTATTTGAGTCGTGCCTAATGAAAGTGCACTTGATAGATTTCGAATCAAGCTTACTTCTTGATCATGCATCAACATGAACATATGTCGAACACCCAAATTTTCTCAAATGAGATAGATTTTGCCTTCTTGTCGGGTAAATTTTCATCGGGTAAATTTTCATTCAAAGGTACTGACAGACCACGATTGATCAGAAAAAATCTAGTGTTAACTGCTTTTATCCAGAACTGTTTTAGCAAACATGCTTGCAACCCCCTACTCCTGGCATGCTCTGTGATGGTTTTATTCACACCATTCAGTTGTGGTGTCCTTGAAACACTAAAATTATGTGTGATTCCATCTGAAGCAAAATAACTCCTGAGTCTCTAATCATGATACTTGTCGCCATTATCTTATCTGAGACACTCACATGCTCAATTATGGTCTTCCACTTTTTAAATATATCAGATTTTTTATACTTTAAGAAATATACTCATATATTTTTGGTGTGATCATCAATGAAAATGAAAACAGTTGTACGAACCTTCAATAGATTGAACCATAGAAGGACCACATGTATCAGTATGTATTAACTCCAGTTTTTTAGACCTCATTTTTGACCCACTTTTGGAGAAAGTAATATATATATTTCTTTTCATAGACAATCTTCACAAAAATATCTAACTTTATAGACTTTAAACCCAAGACATTGTTTTTAGAAAGTAGTTACTTCATACATTTCTCACTCATATGACAACATTTGTGGCGCTGACTTGCATCACTCTTCGTTCCATCTACATCAATGGATTCAATTATCTCATTGATCAGATAACTAGTGCCTTCAATGTTCTCCCGAGCCATCACCATTGGCCTCTTGTCACATTCTACGAATCAGCTATGAATAGTCGCCCTGACCTTGTAAGTTGACTCACCGAGATCAAATATCTCTTTAAATATGGAGCATGATTAACATCACCGAGCTTTGAGAGTGATCTGTTTGGCAACCTGATAACAACTTCACCCTTTCCTACAACATTGCAGCATTTGTTATCTCCCAAATACACCTTATCTAGATCACTTTGAGTGTAGTTTTTAAACACTTTTTATTGGGACATGTATGAAAAGAGGCATTTGAAATATTAGCCAAAATTTGGTATTATTTAAAGACAAAATAAGACTGTCGTATTAAATTTTACTTGTGGAGACATTTGTAGAAAGATTTTTATCTTGCCCTCCACTACCAGCCTTCCTCGGAGCTTTGCAGCCCTTCTTGAAGTGACTTTTATTCCCGCAGTACCAGCAGTCACCTATGGAGTTATCGTCGTGACTAGTCCATCCCAACTATTTGACAATGAAGATAGGATTAACAATGCCTTGACCTCATCACCAAACTTGATGCTCACAAACATAACAAATTTTTCATATTGTTAAAATTATTCAAATGGTCAGCCACCGAAATACCTTCCACCATCTTTATATTGAACAATTGCTTTATAAAAAAAATATTTAAAGACAAGGGTTTCTTACACATTCTTGTTAGTGCAGTCGAGATCTATCATAATTTTCTCATTCAAAATATTGAATGTAACAGATGAAGAAAGTGAAAGAAGAATTAAACCTGGTGTTGTTCAATCAAACAGTTCTTATTCTTTCAGAGTGATTTGTTCAGGTTTTTTGGTGATTCCTTCTTGTGAAAAATACAGTTTATTTTGATACAATAAATTTTCAAGTTGAATTTTTCATAACACAATGTTCGTGCCATTGAACATCTTCACCTTGTATCTTGCATTGTTGGTCATTACTTCCACTCAATTCAAATATCTTCAGAATAAAAACCCTGCTCTAATACTACTTATTAGGAGGATTTGAACTTCCAAGAACTTGCGGAAAAAACACATATTTGAAAGATCAAGAACAAACAAATTGAGCAGAAGCACACATATAAGAGATAAAAAAAATTAATGTGGAAAAAACTCAAAAATAGAAAAAAACTATGGAGCCACGACATACAAAGAACTTCACTATGAAATGTGAAGAAATGTACTGATTTTACCACACTCAAATCCTCTTTACAATATTGGAACTCACAAATGCACCTCCTCTCTCAATCACACGCGAGAAATTTTAGAAATTCACCCATAACACGCATACACCGCTTCATGTTACTTCGCCGCCCCTCCCGCGGTGAAGAAACCTGAGACTTAAAGCCTCGAACTGCAGAAATCAGTTACAGGCATCTGGACGCTACTTCTGAGTGATGGGTTTTCTGATGGTTGGGTGCAAGTTGCGAACTGGGCACTGCCTTTCCATGCGCTTCAGTCCTGGAGTCGTTCTTCTGGGCATTGGATCGCTTGTCTCAAGCGTCGAGTTCCCGAACGCCTTGTTTCCGAAAGTTGAAAACTTGTTCCTGGGCGCTATCTTTCCACACGCTCGAGTCCTAAAGCATTTGGTGGGGCACTTAGTACCAGTCACTGGTGTCGCACCCCCCCTAGGTATTTCGGTGACCGACCATTTGAATAATTTTAATACTATGATAAATTTGTCAGTGCAGTCGAGATCTATCATAGTTTTTTTATTCAAAATATTAAATGCAACAGATGAAGAAAGTGAAAGACGGATTAAAGCTAGTGTTGTTCAATCAAACAGTTCTCATTCTTTCAGATTCATCGATTCAGGTTTTTTGGTGATTCCTTCCTGTGAAAAATACAGTCTCTTTTGATTCAATAAATTTTCAAGTTGAATTTTTCATAACACAAAGTTCGTACTAGTGAACATCTTCACCTTGTATCTTGCTTCGTTGGTCATTACTCCCACTCAATTCAAATAAATTCAGAAAAAAAACCCTGCACTAATACTGCTTATTAGGAGGTATGAACTTCTAAGAACATGTAGAAAAAAAACATATTCGAAAGATCAGGAACAAACAAATTGAGCAGAAGCACACAAATAAGAAATAAAAAAACATTTAACTCGGAGAAAACTTGAAAATAGAAAAAAACTATGGAGCCACGACATACAGAGAACTTCACTATGAAATGTTAGGAATCATACTGATTTTACCACACTCAAATCCTCTCTATAATCTTGAAACTCACAAATGCAACTCCTCTCTCAATCACACGAGAGAAATTTAGAAATTCACCTATAAAATGCATACACCGCTTCATGCTATCTTCGCTCGCCCCTCCCACGGTGAAGAAAC